TTAACAAGTATTTACAAAGAACCTTCTATTGATCAGACATGATGCTGCAAATTGGGGGTCCATCAGGGACAGGGCCTGGACCTGCATTTTCATGTCTCCGTTAATAGTTCTCCCAGACCTGCCAGCCCTCGTTTTCCCTGATGTAACTGATTTTGGGTTCAAGCACTATGCCCACTCCCTTCTGGACCACCTGCTCCTCAAATGCAGGGATCCAAATCATGGTATTCTGTATTCCCAGTCCCAAACACAGTGCCCAGCCCTCAGTAGGTGATCGGTAAATGCTTGCAGGATAAGTACTGGAAAACACTCTAGATAAGAAGCAAGCATACTGGTTGACTGCAGGAAATGCCCACCTCCTGACTGGCCCACTTGCCAGACCTGCCCCACTCAGCCTGCCTCATAAAGAAAGGGTTATTTCCCATTTTCATCTGAATGTGATGCTGATGGCCTGCAATGGTTACCTTCCCTATGACCTGACTTTGTTGCCCATGAGTTTTCCCCTTCACACACCATCACCTGAACCCATAGAGGACAGGACGTGGGAGACGCTGGGAGCTCAGGCTCCCCTTCTTCTATGGGGGGTTTTCTTTACGTTGTTCTAATAAACAGCATTCTAGGAACTGTGGATAGATGGAGACTCCATGGCTACCATTGTAAGGCTCAAGGTTTTGTCCCAAGATACTGGGATTTTTTAAAGCAGGTGTATGACTTGATGGTCAGACCGTTTTGAAAGACGATATTAACTAAAAAATAGACGGGGAGGGTTAGGGGTTCAGCTCAGTGGTTGAGTACTTTCCTAGAATGTATAAGTTCTGGGTTCAAAATGCAAAGAGAATGTCGAGCAGAGAGCTGTGTCTGGGAGTTCAGGAGGAGGCTGTCTGTCAGTGTGGTCAAGGGAAGTGACGATGGTGGCACTAGGCAGGGAATGGGCCTGATAAGGGAGAAGTGGGGCAGATAGTGATAGGAAGAGCTAGGATTTGGCCATTGACTGGATGCAGGAAGAGGAGAAATCAAGGCTGGCTGGGCCTCCTGGGCAGGTGGCATGCTGGGAAGCAGACTGACCTGTAGCAACAATGTTCAGCTGCAGGCTATGGATCAGAGGAAAGTTGGAAATGCATGGGATGGGCTTCTGGAATTCAGATGGCATCTGCAGGCATTCCCCTGGGCCCCTCACACCCTGGTTACACTCTCTTGCACAGTTTGATTTGAACTGTAGGAGCCTCACTTGTTTAGCCAACAATCCAAGGACTTGGAAGGAGAGGTCCTTTTCTTCTGCCTCCCAGCATCTACTAGGACCTGCTTCACCAGACCTTATCCAGCCCCATCCACATGTGGAAATTCTCCAGAAAGGCCCCTGGAGGAGCAGAGGCTGCAATGAGGATCTCAGGACCTGAAGCTGGATCTCACCTGGGTCTTGTGAACAGGAGGGGATGGCTGGGGAGCACAGCAGAGATGTCAGGCAGGTCACAGGGACTTTCAACCTGGAGGTTCCTCACCAGAAAGTGCTGACGCTTTGAGGACAGGGACCCAAGCATGTTGGCATTGGGCACCATCAACTTCTGACAGGCTACCATTTTCATAGTTATGCCCAAGATGTCTTCGTTGTCTGTAGGAGCAGTCCAGGTAGGACGTGGAGGCTGGAGCTCACAGGGTGCAGTCATTTTCCCCTTTTATCACATTGTCCCCCCATGTCCAGCTACTGACTGAAAACATGGCCAATAGGAAAAGTTTGTAACTGAGCAAGGTACGGTGATGTGTTTGTAAACAGTGAGTCAGGAGGTGGAGGCAGGAAGACTGATGTTCATGGTCAGCCTGGGCAACTTAGTGAGGTCCTGCTTTGATGAACCTCAGTGGTAGAGGGTCTCTCGGATAAAAACCCAGTACCAAAAAAAGTTGCAATTGAATACAATATTAATACTTAAGAAGAAATGTGTGGGCTAAAGAAAATGATCATTTGTCCCTTCTGTCTTGGCCCTCTCAAGGCTTACAATCCTCTCTCTGAGATGGCTTGACTGGTCTTTCAGCACTCTGCTTCAGCGACTTCCCTTTCTAGACAGCTCTCCAACAGCTCAGTGGTAACTCTTAGGGGCAGGGTGTCTCTGCATGGTAATGCCATACTGAAATCTATTTGCATTCTTTTTTTTTTATTTTTTCTTTATACATGGAATGCTTTACAATTCATATTACACATACAGAGCACATTTTTTTCATATCTCTGGTTGTATACAAAGTATATTCACATGAATTCATGTCTTCATACATGTACTTTGGATAATGATGTTCATCACATTCCACCATCCTTTCTAACCACTGTCTCCTCCCTATCCCCCACCCTTATGCCCTATCTAGATTTCGTCTATTCCTCCCATGTGCCCCCTCCATACCCCAATATGAATCAGACTCCTTATATCAGAGAAAACATTTGGCTTTTTTTTGAGGGGGGGGATTGGTAACTTCACTTAGAATTACCTTTCCAATGCCATCCATTTACCTGCAAATGTCATGATTTTATTCTCTTTTATTGTTGAGTAAAAGTTCATTGTGTATATATGCCACATTTTTTTTATCCATTCATCTACTGAAGGGCATATAGTTTGGTTCCACAGTTTATCTATTGTGAATTGTGCTGCTATAAACATTGATGTGGCTGGGTCTCTCTAGTATGCTGTTTTGTAGTCCTTTGGGTATAGTCCGAGGAGAGGGACAGCTGGTTCAAATGGTGGTTCCATTCCCAGGTTTCCAAGAATTCTCCATACTGCTTTCCATATTGCCTGCACCAATTTCCAGTCCCACCAGCAGTGTATGAGTGTGCCTTTTCCCCCACATCCTCACCAACACTTATTGTTGTTTGTCTTCATAATAACTGCCAGTCTGACTGGAGTGAAATTATAGCTTAGAGTAGTTTTGATTTGCATTTCTGTAATTGCTAGATATGATTAACATTTTCTCATATATTTGTTGATTAGTTTTCTGTTTGTGTTCTTGACAGGTGACGACTTCATGACCTGGGTTGTACTCTCAGCATTTGTTCATTTAGAGATAAGAGAAAGCTGAAGCCTTGCCTGCTGGGATCCTACCTAGTGTTTGGGAGTTGAATGTTGGAGGTGAGATTCCACTCACACCCTCAAAGTCCTCCAACTACCTTCCCTTTATTCCTTATACTCCTCAGGAAAAAGCCCTGGTACTGACTTCCCTCTGTACTTCCTGGAAGGACCAATAAAACTCAGAAAAACTGCATAAACACTTTTGTTTTGCTATTTATTTATTTTGTGGTGCTAGGTATCTAACCCAGGACCTTTGGTGTGTCAGACAAGTGCTCTACTAATAAACCTCATCCAGTTCTTGGCAATTATTTTTAATAGAGTTTATTTATTAGAATATTTATTTATTTTTTGGTTCATAACTTATATTACAATTAATTTATTTATTTTTAAATTAATTTCTTAGTTTTTTGTGGTTGTTTCTTCTGTTAAGAGAAATTTCTTAACTAGTAAAATATTTTTAACATTTTTGGCTCTGCTGGGGATGAGCCTAGGGCCAAACTCATACCACTTCATCCCTGGCTCATTAATAAATCCCATTAGTCCTGAGTTTTCAATCCTGTATTGGAGATAATGAGTTAACATGCATATTCCTAAAGAGTAAATCCAAGGACGCTGCTCTGGAGGAGGGTTTGGTGCACGCCTTCCCACCCCTGCTCTGGGTCTGTGGGGCTTACTTAGGCAAAGGGAGCACCTGAAGAGAAGAAGGCAGTTATTGGGGGCTGTCTGGGTTGGCCTCATTCTGTGTGCTCCTCTTCCCTGCTAAACACGTAGGTCGTGGAAATTTCTGCTTCAGAAACTAGCTTGCGTTCCTGACTTTGCTCTTTTGAACCAAGTCCCTGGAGGTGAGTCCACGCCGGACTTTGCGGCTTACTCTCCCTCCTGTCTGGTGCCTTGATCCTTTGGCGTTTTGCATGGTGCCTCCTTGCCAGGGGATGGAGGCAGTACCGCGCAAGCGCACTAGAACCCAGCTCAGAAGGGCTAGCTGCCTGACTATGGGTGAGCTCAGGCTGGACCTGGGGAAGGATCCATAGTCATGGCCCCGCTCAAGGCAGGACTTGCATACGGGGTCTGGGACTGGTGGCTGGGGCCACAATGACGCAAGGCCGATCCAGGTGGCTCCTCCTCATCGTGAACCCACAGCAAACTTGGCCAAGCCACTTGCACTCAGGAGCCTCGGCCACAGCCTTCCACAGGGATCACAAGCCTTGCCTCCAGGAGGGACCCTCTCCAGGTTTGGTGGCAGGAACCCCAAGGGTGCCTGAGTCGGGGACGGTTTGCTGGGGGCTCCATTCGGCCTGGAGAAAGGGCTCCCTGGCAACACTGGGTCCACACTGCCTCGGGGGAGCATGCCTTGTTGTCTTTCCAAGATTTCAGAGTATCCCGCAGTCACTGCAAAATGGTTGTGGAGTATACCATGGTCAGGAGGAGGAGAGGGAACCCAGGCTGTGGTTAACTTCCTGGTGGTGGCCCACGTGGCTGGCTTGCTATAGAGGTGTCCGTGTTTGCTTTACAGAATGGAAACAAGAGACTATTGGCTTCTGTGGAACTCATGTTTGTGATACCTGTTGATGGCCAGACTCCTTCCTGCCCACATAGAAAGTGTGGTGCTGGCCCAGTAAGTTCAGTGTCAGTCCAGGGCAAGTCTTGGTGAACCATGGAGGCAGTCAGTGCTCTAGTTTTCTGTGGAGATGGAGTATGGAGGATGTCCTGGCACCATCACTCTTTTGCTGGTGGTTCTGGGATGTCAGGAGCCCTCCCTGCATGGGCAAAGATGTTCTGTACAATATATGGGCAGTAGGATCTGTAGCAGGTCATGTTGACTCCCATTAGATAGTCTATGTTTGGAGAAATTTAGAATATTCCAATTGACTTGAACGGAAACTTTTTGCTGCAGGTGACTGGGATGCAGATATCCATGCCTTGAGTTACTGCTGCTTTACTGAGAGGACCCACAGGGGTGGGCAGAGGAACTTCTAGAATTCAGCTTGTCCCATGGGCACCTCAGTGCTCTTCCAGATTTCAGAGAGTGGGACCCAGTTTTTCTGGACCACAGCTATGCCAAGCCATGGAATGCCAAACCAGATGCCAGTAGTGCCCACCCCACCTGCATGACCTTTGTTACTCCCCTGAAGCAGCACCAGGATACCATGTGAGTTTGGGTTTCTTTCCTAAAGGCTACTACTTCTAGAACTGGGAAGTAAGTACTTTCATGGGGATGACTGGGAGGGTGCTGTGTGGGAAGGTTGAATGTTAATTTGGCAACTGTGATGAGCACATACAAATATCAGGCCTAAATGTGGACATTTGCATTGAAGATTTCTCCTAAGTTAGAAAAGCAAGACATGTAAAGGAAAATAGACAAGGGTGTTTACTTAAATAAGCCTTATGTAGGGAAAAAGAAATTGAAAAGGATTAAATTGATGAAAATAAATGCTGAGATCTTGATTTTAAGATTGCCACATACAGCAGGACATGTTAGCATGTGCCTGTAATCCCAGTGGCTCTTGATGCTGAGGAAGGAGGATTGTGAGTCTAAAGCCAGCCTCCGCGACATAGCAAGACCTTAAAGAAAGCATAAAAAATGGACTGGAGATATTGCTCAGAGGTTAAGTACCTGCTGGGTTCAATGCCTGGTAACAGAAAAAAAAAAAAGATTGCCACACAGGCCATGTATGATTTCACATGCCTGTAATCCCAGCAATTTGGGAGGTAGCAATTTCAATGCCAACCTCCACAATTTAGGGAGAACCTGCCTCAACATAAAAAGGGCTGGATTGTAGCTCAATGGTAAGGGTCCCTGGGTTGAATACCCAGTACTATATATAAATAAATGAATATATTACTAAATAATTGCCATGCAGGGTTAGACCTGTGTCACTTTGGTGTAGTGCTGTGGTTTGCTTGACAGTTACAACAACAGTCATTTTGCATTTGCTGACCTCATACATAAATGTTAGGAGCAAATTCCCAAGACATTGCTTTCCCAATGTGACAGAACTTCCACCCATAGGTTAATCTAAAACCTTCTTAGTCTAATATTTTCAGCCAATCTGTATTATATGGCAAGCAGCTTTCATGATATTATTATTTGATAGGAGATACAATTACATTGGCTTAAATAAACCTGTTGGCAATTGTTTTGAACTTTAAGGCTGTCTTATTTCTTACATTTTGAGATTTGTTGATATGTACTACTCTGATGATCAAATGATGCCCTTAATTATAGTATTTTGGAGACTGGTTTTTATTTTATCTAATTTTAATCTTTCCTTAAACATAGGATTTAGTTTTTTTGGGAGCTAGAGATCTTGTGTTTTTCCTCTTTAGATTCCACTTCACACCCACTATTGAGTCTTTTTGTTTCTTTTTTTTGGTAACCAGGGATTGAATTCAGGAGCATGCAATTACTAAGCCACATCCCTAGCTTCATTTTGTATTTTATTTAGAGACACAGTCTCATTGAGTTGCTTAGTTTTTCACTTTTGCTGAGGTTGGCTATGAAATTGTGATTATCCTGCCTTAGCCTCCCGAGCTGCTGGGATTACAGGCATGGACCACTGTGACCAGTATTATTTGTCTTTCTTAACAAAGCTGTTGGTCACTTTTTAATATCATTTTAAATGATTTTATTTCCTTCAGCATGTACCACAGAAAGGGCAGAGATCTAGAGAGAAATATGAGAAAGATGAATTAGGATAATTTTTTTGTGGTGATAAGGTACTTATGCAATATAAAAGACATTTATTGGTAACTAGATGATTATTAGCCATGGTGTTGTATGCAGTATGTGTGGGGCTTGTCCCATTTCCTCACCTGTTTACAGTGAATGAGATGTCCCAATAGATGTGGAGATGGTCATGTTGACTCCCATACCACTCTATGACAACAAGGTGTACAGTGTTATGAATGAGTACAAATGACATGTCACACTTGCCAGGCTTCAGGCAGACGCCCTTCCTCCTCCAGAGGACCTGTTGTTTTTTTCTGGACCATAGCTATGCAAAGCCATGGAGTGCTCACCCAATGCCAGTAGTGTCCACCCCAACTGCATGCTCTTTGTCACTCCCCTGAGGCAGCACCAGAACACCATGTGAGTTTGGGATTCTTTCTTAAAGGTTACTATTGCTGGAACTGGGCAAGTGGGGATTAGAGTGGATTTTTGGAGGGATGATTGGTGGGTACTTATATGGGAAGGTTGGATGATTAATTTGCGCATTTCTGTTGAGCATATACAAATATCAGGCCTCAGTGTCAACATTTGCACTGAATATTTTTCCTGAGAAAAGATAGAAACACAGACATCCTAATCTCTTGGACACTGGTTATAATTTTACCTAATTTCAATCTTTCCTTAAGCAAAGGCTTTAGTTCGTTTGGAGATAGAAATCTTGTATTTTGCCTCTTTAGATTCTACTTCACCGCACCTTTGATTCTTAAAGAATTAGAGGGACCATGACGTGTTTTTTAATTTTTTTTTCCTTTTATTTTGCAGTGTTGGGGATTGAACTCAGGGCTCCAAACATAGCAACCCATGATGTGTTTTAAATGCACATAGAATTGTGGTTTGTGATTCATTTCCCAATGATGTTAGAAATTTTTGTTGTATAAGACATAGGACCTGTGACTTTAGGGAATATCTAGCATAATCTTTGTTGTTGTTGTTGTTGTTTTTGGTACTGGGCATTGAACCAGGGGCACTCCACCACTGAACCACATCCTCAGCCCATTTTTTAAAAAAATTTTATTTAGAGACAGGTTTTTCTAAGTTGTGTAGGGCCTTGGTAATTTGCTGAGGCTGGATTTAAGGTTGTTATCCTTCTGCCGCAACCTCAGGAGCTCCAAGGATTATATGCATGCACCACGGTTCCTGGCCTCCTTAACATTTGATTCAGGTTGTCTTTTGTACTTTTTGGTTTGTTTTTGTTTTCGTTTCAATGAAAGGGAGTAATTCTATGTTGCCCAGGTTAGTCTGCAAATCCTGCACCCCAGTGACCCTCCTGGGGCTGTCTATAGACATGGACCACTGTGCTAAATGTGCAAGCTTGATGCCTCTCTCCTAAGGCATAACTGAAAAGCTCCTGTAAAAAGCATTTGAAATCTTTTCCTTTTTGTTATGTAAAGCTTCTTGCTGACATTGAAACTCCTGGATTCATACCCCATTATATTATTTTTTAATTCTTTTTTTTTCTTTTTTTTAGTTGTTGATAGACCTTTATTGTATTTATTTATATACAGTGCTGAGAACTGAACCCAGTGCCTCACATATGCCAGGCAAGGTTGCTACTGCTGAGCTTCAGCCCCAGCCCTGTTATATTACTTTATTTTTGAGGTTCTGAGGATTGAACCCAGAGCCTTGTGTATGCTAGGTAAGCACTGAGGTACATCTCTCATAATTTTTAAAAATTTTGTGACAGGGTCTTCCTGAGTTGCTGTGGTTTGGCTTGAAATTTTAATTCTCCTGCCTCAGCTACACTAGCAGTTGGAATTACAGTTGTGTCCCACCACACCAGACTTTGTGACAGTTTTTTCTTAAAGTGAGGTTCTGTAGAGTTCATTTTGTTGGTAGTTAGAAAATTATTTCCTCATATAAACCCTGGTGCCATACATAGACCCTGAAAATTGGAATTTGGCATATTGCAGGAAATAATTTTAGGCCATTGTGGCTGGAATATGCTGGCAGGTGGGTTGTAAGTAGGAGGTAGAGAAAGGTTGGCAGAAGAAATCTCAGTTTATTGTGAGTAGTATGAAGTCATTGGAGAATTTTAAGCTAGGGATCCAGTTTGTATTTTTAGAGGATCACTTTGGATTTTTAAAAAGTAGATTATAGGACAAGAGTGGGTTAAGAATACCAGCGGTGAGGCCTCTGCAGTAGCTTGAGATGAGCTAGACATCATGATAGTCTGGAAAGGGATGGGAACAGTATAAAGGAAAAGGTTCAAATAGGATCCTTCTTAGATCTTTGGCTTGAGTAGCTGGATGGTACCATGAATTGGGAAGACTTAGGGAGTATAGGTTTGAGATGCCAAAATCAAGAGTAGTCTTGTAGGTGCACATGTCCACAAAGTGTTCACTCAGTTTCTGATCTGAGAAGATAATCAGCTCTTATTCCCACTACCAAATCTGCTGCACAGTTATTCACTTCATTTAACAATGATGTGATTATTCCAGTCATTGGGAATGGGTGCAGTGAGATCATCGAGGTCAAAAATTTAATATGGTGTTAAGGAGATAGCTAGTAGACCCAATTGATTTGCATGGTATTTCAGGCAACAAAGATTGTACAGTGTACCTAAAGTGTTGGGGAAGGATCCCCATGGTACTAAAATTCTATTAGCATCATTTTAAAATATGAAAGATCCTTCAATGATCCATTTATATTCATTTTAGTTGTAGGCACTGCACAAAATGAGTAGATAGAAGCTGTCTGCATAACAGTTGATCCTAGATAATCAGACTTTTACAATCATATAGTTAAGTACAAGTTGATTTACTAATGAATCATTTAAAACTCTAGACCAGAGCTATTCAACAGAACTCTGCAGTTATAGAAATGCTGTAATCCTGTGTGGTCTGATCTGGTGGCCAGTCTGCTGAGCATTAGAAACGTGTCTCGTGTGATTAGGAACTGGATTTTAAATTTATTGACACTATTTAATTTCAATTTATTTAGGTAGTCGCATGTGGCTTATAGCTTCTGTATTTGTAATAATAATTACCTTTATGTAATTAATTATTTGCTTAAGGAATATATCTTTCTTTATAAAAGCTATTGGCCACTTTTTAAACTTTTAGCTGGTTTTATATTCTTTCAGCACATACCACAGAGAGGGAAGAGATCTAGAAAAATGTGAAAAAGATGACTTAGGATCAAAAATTTTTGTGGCTATAATGTGCTTATGCAATATAAATCAGACTATGTTAAAGAGACATTTTTTGGTAACCAGGTGATTGTTAACCATGGTGTTGTTTGCAGTATTTGTAGGCTTGTCTCATTTCCTCACCTGTTTACATAGAATCAGATGTCCCAATAGATGTGGAGATGGTCATGTCGTCTCCCATGCAACTCTATGACAACCAGAAGGTGTGCTGCATGATGAATGAGTGTGAACAACACATCATCTTTGCCAGGCCTGATGCAGATGCCCCTCCTCCACCAGAGCACTGGGAGGAGCATGTCAATAGTAGGCCACTCCTCAGAGGGATGGGTTAATGTCACCATCCTATAATTATTTTGTATCATCCTCTTTAAGGAGACATTTATTATAGCTACATAAATGGGAATTTTCTCCTAACTCTGCCTCATAACTGTCAGCTTGCTGTGCTATGAGCTCATTGAGAGTAGGGCCTGCATCTCTGCCATCTCAGCCTCCCTATGGCATTGCCTGGCATACAGTAGGCATATAGGCAGAGTGTGTTTTCAGAGCTCAGCATAATCCCTGCAGGATTGCTTGAGCCCAGGAGTTTGACTCTAACCTGGGCAACATGGTTCATGTTGCTGAAACTTGCCTCAAATTTGTGATCCTCCTGAACTGCTGAATTACAGGTGTGCACTACTGTGCCTAGCTAAGAATCCTCTCTTTAAAAAAGTTTGTGAAATAAAAAAATAATTTAATTTGATGGGTGTGGCTAGTTCTGTAGCTTGGGTTACAATATAGGGCTCACCCAGACTACCGAAAATTAAATGTACATTGTATGATTTTACATTTTTGTGGTCTATAGCTAGTAGAGTGTAAATGTTTTAGAATCACATGAAAATCCAAGAGATATTTTGAGTGGCTTTAAAAATAGATTTAAAACTGGGTGTGGTGGCATGTCTGTAATATGAGCTATTAGGGAGGTTGAGACAGGAGGTCTACATGTTTGAGGTCAGCATCGTGCTAATTAGACTCTGTCCTAAAATTTAAAATAAAGTGTTGAGAGTACAACTCAGTACTAGAGTATGTCCCTGCAGGCATGAGCTCTCAGGTATAATCCCCACTATTCTCAAACAAAAAATATACAAACAAAGATTTGCAATCTCTGGTTTTGAGGGATACTTACATTCATTTTCCTGGATTTGCTGGCTAGTTTTGTTTCCCTGCCCCTGCCTCCAACAGAATCAGCATTCCTCCATTTTTCTGTTTAGCAAACATTTCCCTTTTATTTTTTTAAGAGAGAGAGAGAGAGAGAGAGAGAGAGAGAGAGAGAATATTTTAATATTTATTTTTTAGTTATTAGCGGACACAACATCTTTGTTTGCATGTGGTGCTGAGGATCGAACCCGGGCCGCACGCATGCCAGGCGAGTGTGCTACCGCTTGAGCCACATCCCCAGCCCCAACATTTCCTCTTTATATAACAACTTTATTGAGGTTTATTTACACACCCTGTAATTCACCAGTTTATGTGTACTGCCAGTGCTTTTTAGTGTAAATTCAGAGTTATGCCCCCAACACCCTAGTGAGTTTGATGAACTATTTCATCACCTCAATAAGAAACTCTATTCCTATTATCCGTCAATCACCATTCCTCCTGACTTCATTGGTCCCTGGGAGCCACCAGTGCACTCTTTGACATAGATTTGCCTCTTCTGGACTTGAGTATATGGGATTGTGAACTGTATGTTCTCCATGGTGGGTGGCTTTGGCTTGTGCTTGGTGGAATGTTTCCAAGGGTCATGCTTACTAGGCCATGTTTCATCACTCCTTTCTGTTGACTGACATTCCATTGATTAGATAATCCATATTTTATTTGTCCACTGATCACTGATGGGCATTTAGGTTGTTTCTGCTTTGGCTGTTATGAAAATGATGCTGTGAACATTTGTGTACAATTGTGTGTGTGTGTGTGTGTGTGTTTTGCTGGGGATTGAAACCAGGACCTTGTGCATGCTAGCGAAGCGCTCTACTGAGCTACCTCAGCAGGCCCTGTGTACAGGTTTTTGTGTGAATGTATGTGTGAAGTACCTAGGAATGGAATTGCTGGATCATATGTATATGAACTCTGTACTTAACTTCTGAGAAACTGCCAGGCTGTTTGACAAAGTGGCTGCTTAGCACTTCGCTTTTGATGAAGCTGGCTTTGAACTCACGATCCTCCTGCCTCAGCCTCCCAAGCTACTGGGATTACAGGCATGAACCACCACACCCAGCTTAATACTTTACTCTTTTTTAAAAGAATTTTTGTAATTGTAGATTGACAGCATGACTTTATTTTTATTTGTTTTTTGTTATGTTGTGCTAAGGAAAACCTGGTGCCTCACACATGCTAGGCAAGTGCTCTGTCACTAAGCTATGGCCCCAGCCCGAATGCTTTTACTTCTTATTGTATTAATTTTCTGGAGCCTTTTTTGTTCTGGAGTTTTAACCCCCCTAAGCAGGGCTATTGTTTTTTTATTTGCGACAGGTCTTCCTATGTTGCTAAGGCTGACTTTGATCTTTAGATCCTCCTGACTCACTCAGCCTCCCTAATGCTGGGAGTACAGGTGTCACCACATTGGACTCTGGGGTATCTTTGTTTCTTACTTTTTTTTGTACTAGGGATTGAACTCAGGGGCAGTAAAGCACTGAGTCATATCCCCAGCCCTATTTTGTATTTTATTTAGGGAGATGCTGGTCACAACACCATTGCTGTGGCTAGCTTTGAACTCATGATCCTCCTGCCTCAGCCTCTCGAGCTGCTGGGATTACAGGTGTGGTGCCACAACACCCATCTCTGGAGTATCTTTCTTATTTCAATGCAGTTGCATTTTCCCACAATGATTTAACTTTATAATTCTTATTCCCTTTTACAGAGGTTTGGAATTTTCATATAGCTACATTTATCTTCCTTTTTTTTTGGTCTTCTAGGTTTTTTAGATATTTTCTTATTTCATTCTTAGAAAGACCTGAATCTGAAATAGGTATATGGCTAGGTAGATTGATTACTATTTTCTACCTTGCTAGTGGTTATCTCAGCCCTATTTTTTGACTTTATTTTTACTGATAAGAAACACTACCTTGATATAAATCTTGTTTGGGCCTAGCAATCACTTATGTTTAAAAAAAATATTGAGTAGTTTTTTTCCTAATGACAGGGAGAGTCAGTAAACAAATATTACTGAGGTGGTATTTTTGTGGGTTTTTTTGTTTTGTTTTGTTCTGTTTTGTTTTGGTCCTGGGAATTGAATTTGACCACTAAGCCACATCTCCAGATCTATTATTATTTTTTTATTTAGAAATATGGTGTCAAAAGTTATTTAGTGCCTCACTGTTGCTGAGGCTGGCTTTGAACTCACAATCCTCCTATCTCAGCTTCCCGAGCTGCTGGGATTACAGGTGTGTACCACTGTACTTGGCTCTGATTGGTTTTCTTCTATTGCCTTTGTTTTCATATCTTTAGGAGGCTTCCTAGTCTGAATTAGAGTACCTAATTCAGATTGCCAGGAGTGGGTTGATGGGCAGGTTAACAGGATCCACAGTTCCGTCTGGATTCATTGATGTGGGGTTAAGAACTGTAGAGTAGATTCCTGATTGCAGTTTACTGCTGATTTGGAGGACAGAAAAAGTTGTCAGTAAGCAGCTGGTCATGTGTATAGTGGTGTCATATACTGGGATAACAAAATGTTAACTTATATAGGACATAAGTTTACAAATTTTGTGGCATATAGGAAAAATTAAGAAGCATGGAAAAGGGAGAGAAATTACTGTAGGGTAGAATTGAGACCAGGAGAATAGTCACATATCTGTCATATTTTTTTAAAGCTAGTTTAAGTAGAATTCTTATCATAGTCTAAGGTTTTGGTATACTGAAATGCTTTGCTGTTTCAGGTTTTGTGAAATGTACAAACTATGAAATTCAAATTTCTCTATACACTGGTACCCTATCTTCATTTGCTAGTGTATTTTAGCTATTATATATATAATTAGCTTTGGTAGCACTAAAAGAATTCATCTTTGACTGGTATTGACTTGTAGGTGAGAATATACAAATGTGTGCTGAGATGATTCATTGCCAGGATTGGGAACAGAATCTTGTGTCAAGTTATATGCTTTCAGAAGGGGATCAAAAAAGATTACAGAGTTTTCCTTAAATGTTGTGCATACATGAGGAGTGTCCCTAGGGTATGTCCTTAATTTCTCAGATATCCCCTTTAGGACTGACTGGACAGTGGCCCAGAACACACTATTCAACAAGATCCTCAAAGCCCTGCAGTCTGACCAACTTGCCCGCTTGGCCAACGAAAGGGTAAGAAATCAGAAATCTGCCAATGTGGGCTCTTCTTAGTTCAGGCCTCTATGACTGACTGATTTCTACCTACCTCCTATTTGCTAACTATGTGGAACTGTTGTTCCTTCTTCTTGTATTTTTCAGGCTTGTAATGAGCCAGTGCTGCATCATGTAGCTGTGGACAAGTGTGCAAGGTGGGTGCGGCAGGCCCTGGCCAGTGAGAGTTGGGACACCAAGATGATCCAGTGGCTGCACACGACCCTGATGGAGACCTTGAGTCTGCCCATGCTGGCTGCCTACATGGATGCTTTGCAGACACTGAAAGGGAGGGTAAGGCTATGGTTGGTGTCTGCCCTGTGCTGCGGGCCACCAGTCCCTGTGATGCATTCAGACATGGGGTTAGGTAAAGTCTTTACGTGGTCAGTTTGGAGGGCATGGCTAGCAGGTATGCTAATAAAAATAGGAGACAAGGTCTTGTTTTTACATTTGATCTGGTGTAATGTCTTTGTGCCATCTCCATAATGAGGTGCAGGGCCTGAAATCCAGAGGACTCATGGCCTGACAGCCCCTGGCTTATGTCATTACTGGATTTTATTTTCCTACTCCCTCTGAAGTCTAACAACCTCCATCAGACCTTGATACTTTTCATTCTCCAATCTTTAAAAACCTTTTTTCTTTCTTTCTGAAAAGGATCTCTAACATGTAAAAACCTTTTCCTTTCCCTGAGATCACTTTGACCTCTGTGGGCAGTGTGGAATTCACACAGATACTCATTTGGAGTATAAGCATCAGTGTATTTGAAACTCATATTTATACATCTGCAAGGTCACATCTTTGGTGGACAGTAAAAGAACAGGACATGGTATAATTCATGATATATACACTATTGTTGGATATGTTTTTAGAACATAATAGTAGGCTTCATTAACAAGCCACACTTGAAGGCTGTACTTTAGAAGAAAATGCAGGGTTTATTTAAATTTTCTTATTTATATAAGGATACAATTTCTTTATTTTGTTTATTTGTTTTTATGGAGTCCTCAGGATTGAACCCAGGGCCTCATATGTGCAAGGCAAGTGCTATGCCACTGAGCCAAAATACCAGCCCAGAAAAAGCAATTTTAAAAAAATTATATATATATATATATATATATATATTTATATTTTCTTTTTAGCAGATAGTCACTAGAAATTTTAGAAAATGCAGAAATACATAAGGAAAAAGTCATGCATAGTTCCACAGGAATTCTATGAACATTTGGCATGTTCATATCATCATACAGCCTTTTATATAGTGCTGTATATATTTTGTTTTATATATTTTGTTTTACATGTAGAATTTTAGCAAAATTCTTTTGTTCCTTGCTTTCTCTGTCTCTTTCTGTCTCTCTCTGTCTCTCAGTACTAGGGATTGAACCAAAGGATGCTGTATCACTGACCTGCATTTTATTTATTTACATTTTGAGACAGAGTCTCACAGCTCAGGCTGGCCTCAAACTTATCATCCTTCACATCACTGTGATTGCAGCATGGCCACCATGCCTGGTGCTAATTATTTCTGTGGGTTGTATATTGTCTAGTATGTATTTGAAATTAACCCATGGTGGGCATGGTGGTACACACATGTAATCCCAGCAGCTTGGGAGGCTGAAAAAGGAGGATTGTGAGTTCAAAGCCAGCCTCAAGCAACTATTGAGGCTTCAAGTAACTTCAGTAAGACAATATAAAAATAAAAAATAAAAATTGGTGATGTGTTTCTGTCTTTATGCATCCCTGAGTTCAATCAATGGTACCAAAAAATAGAAAATAATCCTAGATATTCAGTCAGGTGGATAAATTATTTAACTGCTCCCTAACAGATACCTTTAGATTGTTTATGTATTTTGATTGTTATTAACAGATAATATGTCACTGGGTATAGATTATTTTTGATATAATTTCTTGTTTTGGAACCAGGAATTGAACCAAGGGACACTTAACCACTGAGCCACATCAGGCCTTTTTAAATTTTTGAGACAGGTTCTCCTTGCTCAGTTGCTTAGGGCCTCACTCATTTGCTGAGGCTGGTTTGAACTCGCAATCCTCCTGCCTCTACCTCTCAAGGTGCTGGGAATACAGGTGTGTTCCACCATACCTGGATTGATATAATTCCTTTTAGAAGGTTCTCTAGTGAAATCGTTTGGTACAGTGATGGGGATAAACTTAGGATCCAGATGCGTTTCACCAGATTGATTTCAAAAGGAGCATACACACTGTCCTTGCATGCTGGGGGCTTTTTCATGCAGCCACTTATTTGTACCTTTACTACACACTGAAGCATCTCAAACTTTGTCTTTCTAGATCCCAACCTTGATTGACCGCATGCTTGTGTCACTCAACACAAAGACTGGGGCCAAAGGAACTGAGGCCTTGTCGCTGCTGCTGAAAAGGTCCTGGGACCCTGCTGCAGGGGTGCTTCTTCATGACAAGCCAGTAAGTTGAGGGGCTCAGGCTTAAGTGTGGCAGTGAGATGTTCTGACTCGTAGCCTGTAGCCCTGGCTGGAGGAAGGTGTAACCTTTTCCATTAACCACTTGTTTATTAGTGCCTAACATAGTTCTGTAAGCAATGGGTCATGGGTTGGGTGAGCAGCCATAAAAGCCACTCCTGATGGTTGCAGATGAGCCTCTCACTCACCAGGTGGGATTTTCTCTTTGCAGAGGAAACTCCCTGGCTTTCCTGATTTTTATCACCTCCTCAGGCCCCTCTAACTCTGCATTCCCCACCTCACGCGGCCACGGCTTCTGGAAATCTCAGCTGTGCTGCTTAGGCAAGGTTTGTTGGGGGCAAGAGGATGTCTCCACATGGGAATAAGATCTAGGAGGATGGAAGAGAAGAAACACAGGAGGGTGTAAAAATGGATGAACATGAAATGTAGAGCATCCCATGACTCTTAATTGGTGTTCAGATACCACTTGCTGCAAGGTTGAGGGATTCAGAGTAGGTTAAGTAGAATGGAGAGATTTGAACCTAGCACTTTGGCATGGCACCCTTCCTTCCTTTAGGTCATCCCTGTCGCCACCCATCTGCCAAAAAATGGCAGTGGAGTGGGCCTTCTGCAGTGTCTTGAGCATATTATCAGGGCAGTGAGAAGCAAAGTTTTGGAGGTGAGAATGACCCTGTCTTGGGCGACCCTGGCACACCCCTGGTGACCCTGGTACACCCAGTGTGCTGGGGTGTTTATTCCTGTCTGCAGCCTCCTTCTGACTATCTTCTTTCCCTTCCTCTGAAGATTCACCGCCATTTCCCACACAAACCCATCATTTTGATTGGCTGGAACATGGGAGCTTTGGTGGCCTGTCAGCTAAGTGGTTTCTGTCTTATTTGGAGGTGTCTTGGGGGACAGTACTGCTTGCTTATGATGGCCATCAAGGCCTTGACTTGTGTTTCAAGCCCAGTGCTAGATGCTTACCTGATGATTGCATTTTAAACTGTAGAAAACAAACTTTAGTGTTTTTTTTTTCACTTTATTATGGAAATTTTTCAGCAGGACCCAAAGTAGAGAGAAGCTAGTAAGTACACCACAGGGCCCCTTGCTCAACTTTACCTATAACCAACTCATGGCAGGCTTGCTTCATCTTTCCCCTTCCTGCTTCCTTTCTCACTCAGGTTAATTTGAAGGAAATCCCTATATATTATCTTTTATTTATGTACATCAATCAGCATTTCAAAAAACAAACAAACAAAAATAACTCCTGAATTACTTTTTTTCCCACATTTAAGTACCATTTAATTTGCCCAACTGAAAAAATAAATCTCATAGGCACAAATCAATAGCTCTGGAATTTCATGTCATGTTCATATTCTGTCCCTCTATAAGATATTGAGGAGTTTTTCCTGTGTCTTAATTGTGTGTCCACTAGTTTTTGTAAGTGCCCCTGACATGTCCAGAGCCCCAGTGCTGTCCAGTCTAGTGGAGTAGATACCTAGAGCCCAGAGAGGAAGACCACATCCACCTGACTCCTGCTCCCAGGGACGTGAAATCAGCAGCTGTTCCACCAAATCTGGGATGTCTGGAGCAGAGAGATTCTATTCTACTTAAGGGAGAAAGGCAATGCCTTTACCATTTTATGAACTCTTGGTGGAGAAAAGTGATGATGTCTCGGCCTAGCAGGTTGACAAGGTTGAAGTAAGAAACCTCCCATCCTGTGCCATCTGAGGACCTGACTTCCCTTCATGGTAGCTGTCATGGGAGAGCACACCTTGTGTTAGGACAGAGGAAGGGGAGGAGGGAATGGCTGTTGGGTCTGCCAATCCCCTGGACACTGGGTAGGCTGAGGTACACTGAAGTCACCTTCCTGCAGACAGACTGTGCCATTGTCCAAAGGTGTCAATCATGGAATATGTCACTGCTGTTGTCTGCCTTGGGTTTCCTCTGTTCACTGTGTATGGCCCCCGGGGGGTAAGAGTAAGGTGAAGCTGGTGGCAGAGGTCATTGACAGTGGGGGCAGGGGCATCAGGAACACATCCTCATACATGCTGGGTCAGTTCTGCATGATTGTGAACTGGCCAGATCTAACCCTATACCCCTTATATGATGTGGATGATCCCCTCTTTGATATGAAGACTCCAGTCCTCTTTGTTATTGGTCAGAATTCCCTGAAGTGTCACCCTGAGGCCATGGAGGACTTCTGGGAGAAGATCTGTGTGGAAAACAGCTTGGTGATCATTGGGGGAGCTGATGATGATCTCATATGGGTAAGGTCCTCCTGGGGTTGTCAGAGTGTTGGAGGAATGCTGTATGGTACTGCTGTAACTGTAGGCTAATCTGCTTAATCAGGTAACAGTAAGCAGTTATTTTTTAGTTAATTTTATATCTATAAAAAATGTCGCAAAATTGGGTACAAGAAAAATCCATATACCTCTAACCTGGATTTTTCAAATGTTGGCATATTATATAAATGGAGGATAATTCTCAAAGTCAGGAAATGAACATCACTATGGTGGCATTAGCTAATCTGTAGACTCAGATTTCATCAGTTGTCTCCCAAATGTTCATTTCTGGCCCTGGACTCAATCCAGGATTCCATGTGGCTATGGTTGCCATCTTTCCTCAGTCTCCCCATCCCTACCCCATGAAACTGGGGACTGAGCCAAGAGGTAATCTACCACTGAGCTATACCTTTGCCCTTTTTGGTCTTTATTTAGTTTAGTTTATTTGATTTTTGGTAGTGGGTATTTAACCCAGGCACACATTATCACTGAGCCACATCTCCAGCCCCCCACCCCTTTTAAAAAAAATTTTGACATGGTCTCACTGAATTGCTTAGGGACTTGCTAAGTTGTTGAGGCTCACATTTAATTTTAGATCCCCCTGCCTCAGCCTCCCAAGCCAATGGCATTAAAGGTGGGTGCCATCACACCACATTTTTTTTTTTTATTTTGAGACAAGGACTCTCTAAGTTACCCAGACTGGACTCAACCTTGTTGCCTCAGCCTCCTGAATTGATGGGTTTACCAGTGTACCCCACCATACTATGATCTTGACACTTTCAAAAATGACTGGCCATTTATTTTATAGACTGTCCCCCAGTTTAGGTTTTTGACATTTTCTTCATGGTTATATTGAAGACATGTGTTTTTGGCAGAAATGCTTCTTGACTTTTCTCATTGATTCCCATAACAGTATTCCTGTTGGTTTGTCTTATCACCACTGATAATCCCTTGCTCATGTGGTTAAGGTGGCTTCTTCAGTGTTCTCCACAATAAAATCATTGATTTCCCTTTTTAATAGGGAGAAGGATCCTTGGGACACTGTAAAATATGCTTTTGTCAATGTACTTTCACTGGAGTTTGCATTTTTAAATGCCCTGTTGAGGATTATATGCCCTGTTGAGGATGAATGAATGTAGATATTATTTGTATGAAAACTTTTTTTGATGTATTTTGGAGTACAAACACAGCTGAAATTTGGAATGAGATGGCTGTTCTTTTCTTATGATGCTGGAGTGCAGACAGCTTTAGTTATGTTGACATGGAATATACTGAAAATGAAGGTGTGGCTTTTATTGACATTGCTTTTCTTAGTAATTCAGATATTCTCATCTACATGAGAAAGACATGATTTGCTGTAGGGAGTAGAGGGAGTTAGGACTACTGTTCCTCAGAGTTACCTTGTGGGATCCTTAAACATTTGCCTCATTTTTTTTATTTTTTTTTATTTTGCAGTACTGGGGATTGAACCCAGGGATGCTCCACAACTTAGCTGTATCTCCAGCACTTTTAATTTTTGATCTTGATGTAGGGTATCACTAATTTGCTGAGCTAGATCTCAGACTTTCAATCTTAAGGCTCTGTCTCCTCAGTAGTTGGGATTACAGGAGTTGCTGCATACCTGGGTGCATGGTGCTGAGAGTGTTGGACAGATAACACTAATAATGTCCCCTTTTCTTAGAAATTTGGGCACTCACTGTCTTCATCTGAATGTTGGGACCTGATTTTCTCTTTGTCAGGATTCCCAATCAGAAGCCGGGGGTTTTAAGGCTAGCTTTCAAAGTAGGAATCCAATCAACTATGGTCATTTTCTCTTATCCCGTACAACTAGCCTAGGACCCCCCCTTACATCTGCTAAACTATTAACCTCAGGGTTGGAGGCTGGGCCAAGTGACCTCTCAGTGAGGCCTAGCAGTCCAGATGGACTCATCTGTTCAGACTGAGGTGTGGTATTTGTGGAGGGGATGAAGCAGGCACCATGCTTAATTTTCCACATGGATTGTTTTGTTCAATCCTCTTGAGAGCCACAGCCAAAGGGGCCCTAGCAAACTTCCAGCTGCCAGCAAACTTCCAGCTGCCGGCTGATGATTGGCTCACAGCGGCCCCAGCAACATCTAGCTGATTGGCTCCTCGGCCCCAGCAACATCTAGCTGATTGGCTCCTCTGCGGTGATGCTCATTGGGCTGTTTCCCTGCCCTTTCAGACCACGGAGCTGCTCATTGGGGGACTTTTTTGGCTCCGCCCATGTGACCCAGCCAATCGGCCTCAAGAGCAGGAGGATTGTGGGGGTGGAGAGAAGCTTGTGTGGGAGAGAGAGGCTTGTGGGAAGCCGGTGGTGGCAGTTGAGGCTCTGAGGGTTTTTCCTGAGAGGCTGTTTTGTTTGGTGTGTGTGGTTCTAAAAATAAAGTTAGTTTCTTTTGACAAGTGGCTCCTGATTGTGCCCAGCCAGACTGCGGCATTTGGTGGCTCGCACGGGGAGCGACTGAGGGTAAGTGAACTGCTCGCCCCTGAGGGCAGGGCGAGAGGATGGGTAGCCATTTTAAGATTCTTCTTTTGTTATTTTGTTTCACTTTTGTTTTAAGTTGCCTGTCCCTGGAGATGTGTAAGATGGAAGAAAAACCGCTCACATCTGAGGAACAGATAGGGAGAGAGGACGGATGGACATTTCAGGAGGCTATTATAATGATTTTGTGTTGTTCCAATTTTGTTTCACTCAGTTTCAGTTTTGTTAGGCGTTATCTTGTTGGGTTGTATTATAGTAGAAATATGGGATCAGAAATTAGTAAAAAAACAAACTGAAAGAGTGTTAAGTAAATTGTTAGAGGAAGGAGGCATCTCAGTAAAATCAAGAACAATCAGGGCATACGTTGATACAATACAAAAATGTAGCCCATGGCTTTTTAAGGAGGAGTTGTTAAATATATCACAATGGAACCATCATGGTGAAGATTTAAAAAGAATAGAAAAGAAAAGCCCAGGGACTCTGCCAGTTGGCACATTGCCATTGTGGACGTTCAGATCTTGTTTGCTTAGTCGAAAGCCTTCAGTTCAGACAATGGTAGAGGAAGAAGAAGACATAATGATTCAAGTAAAAGAGAAGGTCTCTCAAGTTAGTCAGACAGAGGAAAAGATTCAAGTAAAAGAGAAGGCCTCTCAAGCTAGTCAGACAGAGAAAGAAAGTGTAAAACAGAAAAAGCCATCAGGGGGAAAGTTACAACAGGAGACTGCTACTAACACCTTTCTATCACCAGAGGACGTAAGTGTCCAACCAACAGCGCCACCTCCATATGCTGGGAGGCCCCCAACCCCCGCAGTTGATAGTTGGGATCCTGAGACAAGATCTCAAATATTAACATGCCCTGTATTTGAGGCAGGAGGGCAGCGATTTTACCAAGTTTTAAATTTCAAAACAGTGAAGCAGCTAAAAGAGGCTGTAACAACCTATGGTCCTCAAGCACCCTTCACTGTAAGCATGGTCGAATCCATTAACAACTTGAACATGACGCCAGCAGATTGGGCTAATATGTGTAAAGCTGTGCTAAATGGAGGACAATACCTGTTATGGAAGGTTGCCAATGAGGAATTTTGCAAGGAGACGGCTAGGCGAAATGCAGCAGCTGGTTATCTTCAGAGAAATCTAGATATGTTGTTAGGAAAGGGACCTTATGAGGATCAGCAGCAACAAATTGCATATGATCCTGGCATATACGCACAAATTGCTGCAGATGCAATTAAGGCATGGAAGACTTTACAAGGACATGGAGGTTTACAAGGTCAATTATCTAAGGTAATACAAGGAGCTAATGAACCTTATGCTGAATTTGTAGATAGGCTTATTCAAACAGCTACCAGAGTTTTTGGGAATACAGAACAAGCAATGCCATTACTAAAACACCTGGCTTATGAGCAAGCGAATCGTTGGTGCAGAGATATCATTAGACCATGGAAACATGAAGATTTAAACACATATATTAAATTATGTAGAGACATTAATGAACAAGAGCAAGTCATGGCAGCTGCAGTAAAACAGGCTTTAGATGCCAGAGACATTAATGAACAAGGGCAAATTGTGGCAGCTGCAGTAAAACAGGCTTTAGATGCCAGGCCAAGAACATGCTACAATTGTGAACAAACAGGACATTTTAAAAGGAATTGCCCCATTGGAGGAGGGTTTAACAAAACTAGGTATCAAAGGAGTAGAATACCAGGTATTTGCCCACCATGCCATAGAGGGAGACATTGGGCTAATGAATGCCGTTCTCAAACCACCATAGAGGGTACTCCATTATCAAAAAACGAACAAGGACCAGGTGTTTATCCACGATATTGTGGAGAAAGGCATCGGGCTCCATTGCCAAAAAATGGACAGGGGGGCCCAATGCTCCGGGGCCCAAAACCACAAATATACGGAGCACTGGAGGAACCCAGCAACCCCATCAGGGTAGTGCCCAGGACACATTGTCCATCAGATCCCTCATCAGACAAACCAGAGGGAGCGCAGGGTTGGACATCTGCGCCTCCGCCAGAACAGTACTAACTCCAGAGATGGGAGTTCAAATCATTCCCACAGGGGTGAAAGGACCTCTTCCCAAAGGTGTTGAGAGCCACAGCCAAAGGGGCCCCAGCAAACTTCCAGCTGCCAGCAAACTTCCAGCTGCCGGCTGATGATTGGCTCACAGCGGCCCCAGCAACATCTAGCTGATTGGCTCCTCGGCCCCAGCAACATCTAGCTGATTGGCTCCTCTGCGGTGATGCTCATTGGGCTGTTTCCCTGCCCTTTCAGACCACGGAGCTGCTCATTGGGGGACTTTTTTGGCTCCGCCCATGTGACCCAGCCAATCGGCCTCAAGAGCAGGAGGATTGTGGGAGGTGGAGAGAAGCTTGTGTGGGAGAGAGAGGCTTGTGGGAAGCCGGTGGTGGCAGTTGAGGCTCTGAGGGTTTTTCCTGAGAGGCTGTTTTGTTTGGCGTGTGTGGTTCTAAAAATAAAGTTAGTTTCTTTTGACAAGTGGCTCCTGATTGTGCCCAGCCAGACTGCGGCACAATCCCATGACTACCTGAATGAGGTATTATGATTCTCCCTTTTTGCAATGTGAAAACAGGCTCAAGAAAGGTTGCATCACCTGCCCAAGGGCTAATAAATGCTGTTTCATTTGTGCAGAGAATGACAGGTGAAAAATCCTTTCTTATTTTCATAGGATGCTATGGAATATTTTATAAGAGTTTTCTTCTTTCTGTCTCTTAGAATAAGCAAGGCAAAGAAGAAATCAGAAGTGTTGTCTCAAAGGATGGTGGACAGATGTATTCAGGTGAACACTTGTCTCATTTGTCTCATGTTTCTCTCAGCAAGGCCCTCTTCTTTTGCCATTGAGGTTCAGTCTTGTTGGCAGCAGCTTGCTGAATGGTGTGGGAGTATCCAAGAGGGCTTCTGATAGGCCTAAATCATAAGCAAAAGAGAGTGGCAACCTGAAAGGAGGGTGAACCAGTAAGAGAGAGGGTCTGTGGGAGAAGGGTGGAGGGTCTGTACAGAGGCACCTGGCTGTTTGGAAGGCTGGGTTTTGTTGCAGGCACTGTGAGATGGGGAGCAGCAGCAGCACACCTGAAACAGAAGCAATGGAGGAGTCACATTAGCTTCACACTGTCTGGTGGTTCCTGTTGTCAGGTGGAGGACCCATCTGCCTGGCTTCTTTTTGTACTAGGATGAGATTGTGGACTTCCTGATGGGAGTGCTTACTTGCTGTAATGGTCTCATGGGCTGTGAGCCTTGGCATCAGGATGCTGAGAAGAAGAAGCCTCATGATGTGGCCTGCAGAGACTTGGCATTTGAAGTCCTTGAGTGGGGCAGTCAATCTGCTTCCCCAGCTGCCATGCTGCCCTCCTCACCCTTGCGCTCAGAGGTAGAGTGGGTGGGGAGGGAGCACTCTTACTGGTTGTGAGGACCTCACAGTGGGCTCTCCAACCTTCTGGGGATGCCTGTGAGTTCCTCTGAGGAGGCTCTAGGGGCTCCTGCTGACTGTGGTCAAACCCAGGCAGGCTTGACTCATCTCTTGGCCTTCTCACTCTTGAGGATCTTTCCAGAGTGTCCAGTAGCCACACCTCCTATTCCATGACCATCATGCCCACAATGACCTCTGCTCAGAAGTCAAGAACAGGTGCTCCCAGATGCCCAAGAGAGATGTGCAGTGGAAAAAATCTATGCTGACCCACAAACCAGCCCAGGGTATAGGCTCAGGGACCAGTGGCCTCTCTCAAGTTCTTTCTACTGCAGTGGTTTCACATGGCATTTAGAAAGCACTGGGTCTGCAGCTTTGTCCAGGAGGATACGAGAGGCTCCTTTCCCACCTTCCTGTCCAGGCAGAATTAGGTTGCAATGAGTGGCTGTTGTGCCTGCAGCTTCCAGGAAGCAAATGGGGAGGCAGAGGTGGGGAGGACACAGGCAAGGAATCAACCAAAGGCAGCGGGCACAGCACACAAAGGAGCAGCAGAGCAAGAGCCACAATGAAAGATCCAGTAGGAGAGAAGGAGGAAAACACCAGGTGAAACAACCACAAAAGTGCCCTTGAGTTAAATCCCCAGTACTCCACCAAAAAATAATTTGTAGTCTTTTCCTTTAATACTTGCAGTGTATAATCTGAAAAGTCAGCTGCTCTTGAGGTTCCCTAATATGTGGTAAATTCTTGTTTCTGTCTTTCAGATCATCTTGGTTTTTAATTTCTGACTATAGTGTGTCTCAGTATGGAGCCCATCTATCCTAATTAAGGAGGAGGCAGAGTGGGACATTAGAAATAGGATTAACTTTCAAGTTTTTCCTACTTACATTTTGTTGAGTTTCTTGTATGTATAGGTTAATCTCTTTCATTGAAATAAGAAAGTTTGGACTTTTACAATTTAAAAATATTTCCTTTGTCATGATTTGGGTCTTAGATGCCCACCAATAATTCGTTGAAGGCTTGATCTCCAAGCAGCAGTGTTCAGAGGGGAGAAACATTGGGTGGGGGGATTGAATCATGAGAGCATTTACCTCATGAATAGATTAATTCATGGATGGATTCAAAACTTAATGGGCTATCCAGAGGCCATGGAGACTTTGGAGGTGGAAACTTATTGGGGAAAGGTTACTGTGGGTGTGTTCACAAAGAGGATATATTGTCCTTGATCCCATCCTCTTTCTGCTACCTGGCCACCACGACATGAGCATCCTCCTCTGACATATGCTCCTGCACCTTGATGTTCTGCCTCATGACAGATCCCAAAAGGGTGAAATCAAGTGACTATAGACTGGAAACTTTGAAATTTGTGGTCCAAAATAAACCTTTCCTCCTTTAAAATTGTTTATCTCAGATATTTTATCACAGCAGCAGAAATATGACTAACAAACTTTTTGTCTATCTCTTCTCCTGGCATTTCCATTACATGTATACTGGTGGACTCAGTGATAACTCATAAGTCTCTGAGGGTTTGTTCCTTTTTTCTTTCTATTTGTTAGACTGCATAATCTCTATTCTAATATCTTCCAGTACATTAACCCTTTCTTCTGCCAGATCAAATGCATTGTTGAGTCTTTCAGTGGATTTTTTATTTCATGTATTTTAGTTTTCAACTCTAGAATTTCTATTTTTTAGTATTTTCTGTCTTTCTCTACTTGGTGAGATATCATTAACATACTTTTAAAAAATTCTTTCCACAGGATTTCCTTTTACTTTTTGTCTTGAGAATTGAACCAAGGAACTTCTATGCTAAGCACAAGCTCTACTTCTGAGCTATGCTCCTAGCCTCTTTTATTCTTTGAACATATTTATAGTAGCTAACTTAAAGTCTTGTCTAGGAAATCCCATCATCTGAGTTCCCTCAAAGACAGTTTCTGGTGGCTAATTATTTGTGCAACTTTTCTCTTTCTTTATATATTTTATGCTTTAAAAATTTACTTTTTAGAAACATTATTTGGCAATTCTGAAAAGTAAAAATTCTGTCCTCCAAGGTTTGTTGTTGTTGTTGCTGTTTGTTTTAGTGACATTCCTGGGATGATTCTATAGTCTATATTTCCTGTAACATGCAGCTAAATGAAATCTTTCTTCAGTTAGTGATTCATAATGCTTGGACAAAGATTTCCTAAGCCCCTTTACCTAGCAAACTTTCACCCATTTTCAAGGAGTTTACCTTCAGTCCCCTGGCAGTTTACAACTCTTTCTTGGTCCTTACTTCCTGCCTATAGGTCAAGCAAGAGATTGCCTCAAGGTCAGCAAGAGATTGGGAACCTTCCTTGGTCTTTCTTGAGCATATCATAGATTTTTGGATCCCTAGAAATATATTAGAATTTTCAAAGTATTCTTTGAATATCTTACTGCCGCAGTCTGGCTGGGCACAAATCACAAGGCACTCAAGCAGGAACAAACTTTATTTCTGAACTCCCATGTATGCCACCCACGTGGCTTTCTTCCAGGTCACACCACACCAACCGGAACTCCCTCCCCCCGGGCTGTGCGCACTCACTCTTGGAACCAAGAACTCAACAGGAACTCCAAAGTATCCGGTGCTGGATGCAGCAAGAGCCATACTATTACTGGACAGTAAAGGTCTAATATACAATTGAATCAATCCAGCATCATCTTAATGGCTCGCCTCTCAACCATTACTTCTGGCAAAATTCCAGGGGCCATTCTGACTCCACTGTGGCTCTCAACATCTTACCTCCTTAATCATCTGTTTAAATTCATGGCCAGCACTTTGTTTGCTCCAGCTGGTATCAGTGTATTTAGACAGTTGTGATGTTAAGCAATTGAAGCTTATTGAGACTGACAAACATCCTGGCGATAGGAATTTTCCATGCAGAGATCCCCAAATAGGATTAATAATGTCCTAGGTGTGGGGGCTTTTCCATGGAGAGAGCTCCATGTTGGGCTAAATAACAACATACTGTTAATGATGTTTTATCAGGGAACTGTACCAATCTCCTTGGTACTGGCGATTGAACCCAGGGGAATTACCACTGAACAACATTCCCAGTCATAATTGAAATTGATACTGTATCTCACTAAGTTGCTTAAGGCCTTGCTAAGTTTCTGAGGCTCATCTTGAACTTGTGATCCTCCTCCTTCAGCCTCCCAAGTTGTGATTACAGGTGTGTGTCATAGAGCCCAGTTACAGACAATATTTTGGGGGATGGAGCTTTCTAAGGAGTTTACACCTCAATCTTTTCTTTCTACCCCTGGAGTTTTTTTTCTTTCTTTGTCTTTCCTTTACTTTCTTTCTTTTTTTTTTTTTTTTTTTTTTTTTGGATAATGGGGTTTGAATCTAGGACACTACTGTAGATCTTGATACCCAGCATAAACTCTCTCTCTCTCTCTCTCTCTCTCTCTCTCTCTCTCTCTCTCTCTCTCTCTCTCTCCCACACACACATATATACACGCATACACACATCTTTATGAATCACTCCAAATTGGGGTGGGATGGGTACCTTTGGAAAAAGCCAGTGGGAAGACAGGACTCACCTTAAACCCTGGTGCCTGGCTTGTTCTCTAGGCCCCTTCCCTTGGGAGATGCCACATTTTGAGCACTTTGAAGATCGAAGTTGCATAGTTCCTTGAAACTTAACAGCAAGAATATCATCCTATTTCTACTTTACAGATAAATTGAAGCTCATAAAGGTCAAGTCATGTCCTCAAGGTTAGAACACCATGGGTGGCAGAGAGAAATCCTTCTTCAGAGTGCAGGATACTCTGATGTTACCCATCTCAACATCCTGACTCTCCAGCTGGTGATGGGGTGGCACAGAAGCCAATGATGGTGGTGTCCATCATTATAATTTTTGAGCATAATAAGTTTTATCGTCCTATTTTATAGCCCCCTTACCCAGGAAATGACCCTTTAGAGGCAGTCACAGAGAAAAGAACAAGAGTAAAGTCATAGATATGGTTTCCCCTGATACTCACCTGCTGAAGTGGCTCACAGGTTACTCCTGCCCTGCTAGGGCCAGAGCTTCCAGGCAGTGCACCAAAACTCACGATTGCTAGATTAAGTCTGGCTGAGACTTGTGGGCTGGTGCTATTTGACCATCCACTATACATGCTCAGCTCAGTAGAGCCAACACACGGGCCTAGGTGCCTTTAGCCCATGCAGTCCACTACAAGTCAAGGGTGGTCCAGGGAGGGCAGGTTGGCAGGTCACCAAATGCCCTGGCATCCTGACAAGTCTAGAACTTGAACTCTTCCCACTGAGCAAAAAAAGAACATAGTCATTATCAAAAAAGTGATAGAAGACATACTTTATTATGGTATTTCAGAATTGTTAAGCAAATCATAACTACAGCACATTTTCAAATGAGGAATCATCTATGCCATATAATCTCATCACAACCTCACAAGCACCCTGAGAGATAACCAAAGATCACTTTTGGGGGGAGTTGAGGGAGATGACCCAGTAAGTTCTAATGACATAGCTCTCTGCTCCAGGTCTTCAACACCCTAGGTCTGCAGGTCAGATTTAACAACCGTGGCTGTAAAATGAGAAATCAGGCTACCCCCTCTGTACACACCAAAGCAAGAGGGGTCTATCCTGGTATGGGCAGAAAGGTTTCTCATTGCTACAATGGCCCCAGTCCAGACTTCCACTGAAGAAAGAGTAGTACAATGACCACCAGCCCCCTTCCTCCCTCTGTCCTACTTGCTGCTGGCCAGGCTCCATGACCTTTGGCCATGATGAAGGCATGGCTGCATCTGCTTCCTCTGCAGAAATAGATCCAATCTGCTAACTTGGGAGCCTCTCTTATGAGCTATCCCCAGATCTTGGTGATCACAGTGTGGCTGTTGCCTTCATATGAGTGACACACAGGACACATAGCAGTGTCCCTGAAGATCCACTGGGTGCAAGAGCTGCAGAAGTGTGAGTGGCCACAGGAGTCAAGACATGTGCCGGCAACATGGTGAAAGCAGATGATGCACTTGTCCCAGTGTGATTTGGAAAGAAGAGAACATATAGAGGGGTTCATGGGAGGCAAGGGATTGGCCACTGCTCATGATCTGATCACAGGGCTGAGAAGTGTGCTGTCTTCTGAATATGACCTCATGTGAAAATTCTAGGAAGGAAACTGTAATACATATAGTTGTCCTCCCATAGCCTAATTTTGCATCCCATGGTTACCTGTGGCCTGAAAATATTAAATGGAAACTTCCAGAAAAAAGACAGTTTTAAATGATTGGTGCTACACTATACCATCTACTTGTCCTATTTTATTATTTGTAAACGTTAATCTCTTACTAAGTTCATAAATTCAACTTCTTCATAGGCATGTGTAGGAAAAAACCAAGTATATAGGGCTACCCATTGTTTCAGGATTCAGAGGGACACATGAAACATGCCCCTAAGAGTAAAAAGGGGATATAGATCATGAAATTCAAATTTTCATAAAAGGAAAACAAAGTCCAGCACTTCTTCATCTGCACATGTATGCACACCTATGATAAAAATAGTGGAAGGAATCCACCAAGAGTTGATGGTTGAAAAGAATTTTTTCTTAGCTAGACAGTGATCCATAC